GCATGTTCGGTCGCTTGGTGCATGGAGAAACTATTTTATGAAAAAAGTTTTCAACTGAACAAATTTGTGTCTCTAATTTATCACCAGCTTGCTTAATTAACCGAAGCCCTTCAGTTGTACCGATATAAGATTTTGAAAATATATGTATAGAGTATCCGGGTCAGGTATTGACCCGGGTTATAACCCGGGTCAACAGGTCAAACGGAAATTCATAAAGTTTTTGAAGTTAATCCTTAAAAGTTGATGCAACGATTCTTAATTAAAGCTGTTGGTATAGAGAACAGTTGTACTCCAATTATTTGAATTGGAATTTTTTGGAATTTGTATTGAAAAATTTTTCGATCTTACTCGTGATTTGAGTTCGCCTATTTTCTACATTGGGAAATACGTGACTCCTCAAGAAGCTGACCCGCACGGGTTAGACGACCCGGGTAAGAGCATTGCTATTTAGTAAACTGTAATGTCTTCCACCTATATAATAAATTATGTAATATAGTGCTTAAGTAGGTTTTTGCCTATTTAAATTCTGACCTGTTCCTGGATTAGAGTAATTTCGACCCGTGACCCGTACGGGTCAACCAACCTGGGTAATAGCTCTATATGTGTATCCATCAGACGTCACTTTCAAATTTCTAATTAAAAATTGACGTACGTTGTAAAAGTGGTGATTAATGAATGGTGACTAATTAACCAATACACGATATAACTAACAAATACTACGATCTATGCTGTAGTAAGACCGAAACTTCAAAATGGAAGGCGTCGATCAAGGCGTGATGAGGTCTGATTTTTTAGAGCTTGGGCCTTGTGGTGACAATACCGGGGCTCAGATAAGTCTTTGTTCAATTTTATTTGGAGGTTACTTGTATTGTGTTATGTAAATATAATGCTAATAGTTCTAATTTATTCTTCTTTCGGGTTTCAGTCATGAGATCACAGTAATTTCAATTGATAAACGTAAGAGTATAACAATGACGAAATTGATCAAAGCTTTAATATAAAAAAGGGATCTGTCTACTTTTCTCTACTTTTACGTATCATGGGGACATGAAAATATGAAAATGATTTTATTATGAACGACTTATTATGGACAAATTTGTGACCAAGAGAAATAACTACTACAGTACTAGAGAACTAACTTATACTAAATGATTTCGAAGTTAAGAACTCATCTGAGTTAGTACTTTATTGAAACGAAGAGGTGGATTTTTTAGATCAATACTGCATAAATAATAGCCGTGTTTACTTTTTTTAACTACGTTTACTATGTTCTCTATGTATGAAATATACAAATTGTTTGAACGATATCGTGAACGACCTTGTACGAATTCGCACGAATTTGAACGAACTTGAATAAACCTGCACAAATTTGTGCGAAATTGAATGAACTTGTACGAAAATTCTATTTTTTTTAGTAAGGATAATCTTATTTTTGAAAAGTTCTATACTAACTACGTTGATCTTTTTACAAAAAGGAAAAAATGGGAAAATACAAATAATAATATTATTATTATTAAGGAAAAGCTCCCTTTACATTGTACGTGCATTGTTTCAATTTTGTAAAATAACGTATGTGCGTCATATTTTAATCGGTATAATTTTACTGATCAATAATGAAAAAACAAACAAAAAAACAATTTATTAATTTTTGATACTGCATGCAAACTATATGCGATATTTGTTGTGGGGATTATGCTGAAATTTGGATCATGCCTAAATGTTATATAAGCTATAAGAAAAGACATTTAATTAAAAATAAAACCCCTAACCCTAAAAAAAAAAAATTGTACCATATGTTTTATAGAATAGAAATTTTAATATAGAATTATAACATAATTCGGGCCGGAATTTCAGCATAATCCACCACACATCTATTAACTCCATTTGGGGTTTACTAATTTCCCCCGCCACTTCACTATTGGAATACTAAAAAATTGATTAATAGACAGATACTCCGATATGAGAATGATTAGTAGAACCAATCAGAAGTGGTGGGAAATTAGTAAACACCTACAATTGCAGTAGCACTTTAGTTATTTGCAGATTGAATCATTCAATAAAAATGAGTTTCAAATGTTCATACCAATTATTTTTTAAAAGAAAGTAAAAATTTCGGCACAGAATATAGTTAAGAAATTTTGAAACAGAGTTGGGTCTATTTTAAAATTACAAGCTTGTAAACGTAGGTCTCAGTAAAATTTTATTCTCTAGAAAATGTACCAAACAAAAACTTTCTTGGTTGTGTCAGAAGCACTTATTTTCGGTAATGTTTTATATTTTTTTCGATTTTTTTTTTTTTTACTAGCAAAAAGAATTCTGGAAGCGCATAAATAAAATACTTCCGCTAAATAAAAATTTTTATTTTTTATTTTTTTGAAACACTAAACCGATGTTTCTGATTTGTGCTAATATGGCGTGATCTAGTTTATGCGTCCAATCATAATTGGAGGGGGAAATTAGGGTACAGTACATAGGGTTGCAACCCTATACTGCATATACCGCACTATATACACAACAAAATAGTTTAGTCAATTAAGTTCCATAAGAAAGTTCCGGAAAACAAATTAAGCTGGCAGTTATACCATGTTATACGGTGTTATACAGTATTATACTACCATTTTCTATTATGCTGGTACATAAATAATTTAAATTTAATTTAATCTATATCACGTGTATGATTTAAAAGCATATCAAAAATTTAGCTTAACGTATATATTTCAAATTAAAATAAGTCAGTATATCATTTTATTCTTTTACATTCACACTTGTAAAAATATGCAAACATGACAACGACGACAGAGATTTTTATTTAAATTGATGCTAGTAGGTACAGTACATATGCATGATTTTTATTTTATATTCATCGCAACCTTACAAATTTTTTTTTCACATGCTTTTATAACTGATCTTTTTTAACCAACACATCCGGCATTAAAGAATTTAATCAACAGTTGATATGGTGATGCTGACGAAATAAATAGCGCTGGTTATTGTTATCGAATTGAAAAAGGAGTTAGCAAAGATAAATGCAAAACTTAAATTTTATAGAAAGCTGCTGACATGAGTTATGTTCGAGGAAAGGTCGCAGAATCGAGAAGAATGAATGCAAGGTGTTTCTTAGAGTTAATAAAAAAAAAAAATTAGAATATATAAAATTTACTTACATTATACTGGAAGCTTCAAAAGGTTGAAAATACATGCAAGACAAAGAAGATCTTTTGATAGTAAACCATTTAATATTGGTCCCGCGGTAAGGATTTGTGGCAAAATTTGCAAGAACTTCAGATATTACATAAAGTCTGCTACTTAATTGATGTTCATTACGAACTTGGAGAATCAACATCATTATTCTGATGTTAATAAGATAATACGCCATTCTCAGAGTTGATGCAGAAACACCTTAGTCACACACGAGCAAGCTCATCACGCGTCGTTATCAAACCAGAAATAGATTAGGATTAGATTGGAATTGGGACCAGGCTTAGGATTAGGTTAGTAGTAGAACTGGATTAAGGTTAGGTTTAGTAGACATGATTGGAATTTAGTTGCAGGTAAAATAGGGTTTAGGGTCTTATTTTAGAAATAAGTCAATTTTCAAGGTTAGTTAAAAATAAAATTAGATTTTTTTACGACCGATTTTATGATAATGGTTATAATTTAATAGAGAACCAACTTCTACTCAAATGATTTCGAGGTTAGAACTCAACTGAGTTATTGTTTTATTGATTAAATACTTTTGGACCAATACTGCGTAATGATGGCTGTGTTCGCTACATTTACTACTTCTATCATGTTCAACTATGTATGAATGAACTTGTACGAATTTGAACGAATTTGAACGAACTTGAATAAATTTGTACGAATTCGTACGAAATTGAACGAACTTGTACGAATTCGAACGAAATTCTATTTTTAGTAAGGATGATCTTTTTTCGCTTATTTTTGAAAAGATCTATCGCTATACTAACTACTTTGATCTTTTTACAAAAAGAGAAACTAAAACCGGAAATAATATGTAAAAAAAAAAAAAAAAAAAAGGCATTGTGGGTGTCTGGGGGCCCTTCACAACGTAATCTTACTGTTAGATCATATTGCGATTTTCAAGCTTAGACGATCGCAATGCTAATTTTCGAATAATTGTTATGATAAATCTGGTTTAACTTCGGTTACAATGAAACTCGGGTTTCCAGGAAACGATGTAAGTATGGTTTCCAACGAAAATATATTTTTTAAGAAATGTAGTTTCTAATTATCGTTCGAGTTTCTACATAATATTTAAAATATACATAAGGGCATGCTCTCGCCCTTAATTGAAGATAATATTCGCTCTCTGAATTCTACTTTGAAATAAAGCATAAATTTACGCTCCTTTAATAATAAATGCCTGATAACCTTAAATATCAGAGTTAAACTACACCAAAGCTCGTATTGTCTTCCGATCGAAAAATTATGTATATAAAAAATTTTATCATATCATATTATCACTTGAAATGTGAGAGGGGTGGTTCTATTCTACTTTTTGGATGTGGCTATGATGATTTTGAAAAATCCTATTTTGGGAGGTCGAAGCAGAATCACGTCAGTAAAATTATAGATAAGTATTGATAAATTCGATGAGGCTGTACTAATGAAAATGCCAAGGAAGCAATTTTAGTTTACATAAGCGTTCTAATCTCAGCCTAGCCCTAATCTAAATGGCTCTACTCTGAGGTTAACTCAATAAAATATTAAAATTTACACCGATTTATTAATTCCTAAAATTGGCAATCGAGAACAACTATGTTACTTTAACATACGTACATACGTACAAACCTAAAATATGAATAAGGCCGAAGTCAAATTTTTGGATAAACTCCGAAGGTTCAAAAATAAAATTGACTGATCAATTAAAACCGGCCAAGCTAATAATTCAAAACAACGCCGGTACTTTATTATTATCTTTAATTTGTTTAGAAATTTAAAATTGTATTTTTTAAGGTGTTTTTGAATTTAATTACATGCTAAGATAAAGTATTTTTGTAACTAACGCTTTTAACTCTTCCATCACTAAGAACTAAAGAAGTTAATAAATTATTTATACAGAGAGCATCCTCTAATTTTTTTGTACCTTCATCATCAATCTCATTATTGGAAAAACCTAAATTATGTTCATCTTGAGGAAGTGGCCAATTCTTTCACCCACCAAACAATTCCATTTCTGGAAATATAGGTATTTTATTGATAACTCGGTCTTTGACAATCTCAATAAATAATTTTTGAGATTTTTAATGCTGATTTTTGGTTTCTTTTTTAGCATCGACTTTGTAGGGTCTTCTACCCTCAACATAAATGACTTTTATCTCACTATTACAGTTTTAATGAAGCTAAGGTGTTCAGGCCAATGATCGTAGCCAATGTCCTTGCTCCTTTAATGCTGATATGGTCGTCTCCAATATAATCTAGTCAAATTCTTGTTATTGCGGAGAGCCCCAGCTAACAATCCATATCCATTACCATTAAGACCACTATTCGAAATGATTAGAGAAGTCACCTTCATAAGAGTTGTTGACGACTATAGTCGGTTTCGCTCGTAGAAACATTTCCAATAAAGTATTTCGGATAGTTTGAACTGCTTGTTCATAACTATCCGCGTCAAAATGTTCAGAAAGTTGTAAAAGTATTACTTGGTCTTTATCATCTAAACGAGAGACTTGTTCTTACTAATTTCTTGTTGCAAAGTGATTATCAAGGATAAAAATTTTGAGTTATTTATATCTGATCAAATTTTGTGTAGCAATCTAATGTAAACAGACAAAACAATGTAAACAAAATTTAAATAGAGGCAAAAAGGGTAAACTTTGAGATATAATCAAAAAACTAAGAGCAAAAGTAAAAAAATTGAAAATATCTCAAATTTTACTAAGACTACTATCTTTTGACTTTAAAAATGTTCACGAAATTTTACATATAGAAGCAACATTTTAAAAAAAATTTTTTTACTGATATTAAGGGTAGTGACTGGACTCATTCAACTCATGACTCGAATAATTCGATTTCAAATCATAAATTTTTTAACTTGAGTACTCACGAGTTAATTATTAATGTATAATGAACTAATACTTTGTGTTATAAAATTTTGTACAGTCATACCTGAGTTATATCCTCCCTTCTTCCCAAACTAGTGATGGGACCTTCGAGTTTTTAGTTAATAAAAAAAAAAATTGGACCATATTTTTATATTCACTGGTGATGAAATTCACCATGCTAAGAATTTTTAGGGTTAAGGTGCAGATTTAGGATAAAAGAAGAGTATTATAATTGCTTAGTACGTTTTTGAGATATAGCACTCCTGGTGAATTTCACCCGAAAAAATAATAATTTAGTTATTAATAGTATAAATATTGAATGTTTATATTGTTCGGTTTGGTTAGTTTGGTCGTAGAGATTGCAATTATACTGGATTGTACGCGTGGTAAAACAAGTAATTTAACACACCACATCCTTCTTTCTTGGTAAACCTATCTCACGTCTACGACTTAAATCTAAGCTCAGTGACGAGAAATTACATGTCTTTTCACGGGCCGTAATAATGTTTAATTTGCTAAAAATAAAATGAGATAATTTTATTCTCTGTCGTAATTCTCAACTGATATCCAATTAGCATTATTAAATTTGTCACGTGCTCGCTTGCAACTTTTGCCATCTACTGTAGTTTTTAACTTTCTAATTAATCAATGCATTATAACCAGTAATTTAATGCTCGTGCAAAATCTAAGGTATAACGCAAGTTATTTACAGAATATTAAAAAAAAAAATCAAAATTTTAAGTACTAGAAAAATAAAACCCTGACAACAAATTAAAACGCACACTTTTTTAACCTATTTTATATTATTTATTTTTAAGCACGAATAATTAATAATGAAAGTGGTGTTATATTTTAAAAAAATGTGTAACAATGTAGTCTATTAAAGTTAAAAACTGTTCTAATTATTTAATCAGAGAGCCATATCGTTCTTTGTTACAATTAGTCGACCAAACACCCCACTGGCGCAATTATCAAGTATCAATATCTTCCTGTTTTAATTTTGATTACGAGAAGTAACGCACAGGGTTGTGATTTCGAATTTAGTCCGAATTCGGACCAAAATTCAAAATAACGCCCCTGCGCGTAAAGTTTTCGCGGCCTCTCCACTTTTTTGTATCTGTAATTGTCTGAAGCGTTACTATAGAGACAAAGTGTCTTGGGTTCCGCTCACGTAATACATATCCAATCAACGTTTAAATCAATATAATATTATGTATTAGTGTTTTACTAGTGCTAGTATTAGGAAAGTGTAATTAGGTTTATACGTATGTTTTGCTAGAGATGTTGGTAAAATTAATTTCAACAGTCAACACCAATTCCACTAATAGTGGAAAAATTTTCATTAACTTTATTTCACTAGCAATTTTTATTTTTAACAGGGGCGTTTTCGATTTGCTTTAATTAATTCAATCACAAAAGGTTTCGTAAATAATTCTGTAATCTGTAATGTTTGATAACAAATATTTACAAGCTATATTTCTCCAATATTCATAACTATCAATTACTAATGTGACTTTTCTCAATATATTCTCATCTATTATATTTGATAAGTTATTGAACAATAAAATCAAATAGCTACATACTTAAAAGTAATATAAACGTTCTAGTTCGATACCATATTCTAATATTCTTTCTAATTTATGGGTATTAAATCTTATATAAGAAAATGTAAGTAGGACAAGAAGGACCCATAAACTAAAAGTAGTCTTCGAACTTTGCCTTGTAATGTTTTTAAAACGATCACCGAATCTACCAGTCTGATAGTCGAACCTCCATCCAATATAATCCCAATCTTTTCTACTCAGTAATCCATATAATTTTCCTAAATTCGCGGCTAGTCGTATGATTACTGTTTCTGATGCTGCAATTACGCGACGATATCCTTTTAATTCTGGAACATTTGATTCCGGTTCTAAAATCACTAAGCGGGTCACAGTGACAAGTATATTCGCGACAACTACTAATGGTATTGAGATAATCGTTACGAGAATTAGCTCATTTAACATTTGATTACTTATAAAAATTTTTGTAAAAAGGAAAATTGTAAGAAGAGACAAGAGCATTAATAAACGTTCCGGGTCATCGGGGAAACCGTCTTTATACGAATACTCTGGGTACAATTTAATTAATAGTCCGTCTGCATATCCCCAAGTTGCAAATCTACGATATGACCTTTTCCCGTTATTCCACCAAGGATGTACTGCCCTTACCAAGGGTGCTCCACGGAAACCTTCACTGCCTTGAATATTTCGTTTGAAAAAATGTCTTTTTTGCAGACAAAAATCAATGTCTTCACCGCCTCCCGTTTTCGGGAATATAGTATTGAACTCAATATTATCTTTGTAACGACGAACTATTAGGTTTGCTGTTATTCCCCATGGAATATCCTCCTCAATACGTTCAGCAACGTCAAAAGAAGAAACTAATCCTGACATTTTTACGGCGCTTGTAAAAATAGCATTGGTTGGATCCGGGAATTTCGTACATCCGACGAATCCGCAAGCTTTTGGAAATTTTCGGATTATTCTCTCAGCTTCTATTAACATATCTGGTTCTACAAATAAATCATCGTCTATGAAGAAAACGTAATCCGCGCATGACTCTTTTAGTCCTCTATTTCTTGCTTCACTTGCTCCAAGATTTTTTTCATGTACAATAATTCTAACGAATTCGTCATGTTCATATTTTTTTAGATCTGGAATATTTGGCGAATTTGGATCGTCCACAACCATTATTATTGATGTAGATGCAGTTTTAGATCTTTTAAGCCGGATTATAGGCTCTAAAAATTGTAATAGAACCCTATATGTTGGTACTACTATATCTATTGTAAGGAGTTTAGGTATAGGATTTTCGATTGTGTTTTGCATCCATTTTTCAACGGATAATACAGCATTATCCAAAATAGAAAAACTCCAATCATTTTCGTACTGTTGTTTTTTACTACTTTCTATAATTTTCATTAGTTTGATCCTTTTTGACATTACAGAACAGCCAAATCGACGATATAATTGAAAAAGGAAAGAGCTAGTGGCATCCTGATTGGTAAATACTTGTGGAAATGGTATACCATTAAATATATCAATATGAAGTCGTGATATTACTGGAAATTTTGGAAGTCCTGGAGACGTTGTTTCCGTGAATGTAACCATCCCGAAACCGTATGGTACTTTTTTCTCATTTGAAATTTTCACAAATTCTTCATGAATTTTTGACATCCAATTAGTACTCTCAATTATAATGCCGTTATCAAATAGTACTATATAATCACACATCTGATTATACGCATTTATTGCTAAGTCGTTCCAAATTTTACATATGGATCCTGAGGGCAGATCAAACTCACGCATTTCTACATCAATAAATCCGTATTCCTTGAGTATTTGTTCGACTACATTATTCTCAATAGGATGGTCGTCCTTATCAATTCCTATAAAGAACTTTACCGAAAATTTAATACCGTTTATACCCGCAATATTTATTTGTGTTGTTTCATATACGCTCTGGATGAAATTACGTAGGTGATAAAGATAATCGTCAGGGCTTTCCAGCCCGCGAGAAGTAATCGGAAGAAGAATTCCGAATTTAATCCCTTCATCTAATATTTTCGTTACGTTGCTATTTCTGTAACTCTCTTTCAACTCTTTTCTCGTTGGCTCATTTTTACATTTATTAAGCTCTTTTTCGATCTCATTTTTTATCCATGTTGTCGTTTTTTCCATACCTTTTCGAAGTGAGGTTTTAGGTGACCATCCAAGAACTTGACTAATAAGTGTATTATCCGAATTTCTATTTTTTACACCAACAGGTTTATTCTCTTCTGTTATCAACCTAATCTGTTCTTTCGCTATTCCGATAGTTTCGAATGCAATATAAGCTAATTCTTTTATTGAAATAGCATCATCGGAACCAATATTTAATGGCTTAGAATA